AGCAACCCTGCATAGAGCAAGTCTACTGGTGCCATGTTTCCAAATGCATGTGCTCACTTCATGTCTGTGTCACATTTTGGTAATTCTCGCAATATTTCAAACTTTTTCATTATTGTTATATGTTTTAAGATAATCTGTGATCTATGATATTATTATTGTAATTGTTTTGGGGGCACCACAAGCCACACCCATATAAGACAACAAATGTAACGCAAACGTAAGGGACGTGGAAACCCAAGATAGGCCAAAAGCTTGTCCTCTTGCATCAGTTAGCCAAGCTGCAAAGGTAAAGAAAAAGTTCTTGAAAAAAATTAAAGGTGCTACTCCAGTGAACACACAAATAGTAAGAAAGCAAAACAGCCTTATTGCTGGTATGGAGAAGGTTTTCATAGTCTGGATAGACATTCAAACCAGCCACAGAGCAAGGCCCTCTCTTAAATGCTATGAAGGCTGAGAGAGGTGAGAAAGCTACAAGGAGCTAGAAGCTAGCAGAGGTTGGTTCATGAGGTTTAAGAAGTCACCATCATTAACATAAAAGTGCAAGGTGAAGTAGCAAATGCTGATGGACAAGCTCCAAGACATCCAGAAGATCTAGCTAAGATAACTGATGAAGGCAGCTACACTAAACAACAGATTTTGAATCTGTAGAAGAAACAGCTTTATATTGGAAGAGGATGCTATATAGGACTAGCTAGAGAGGAGAAGTCAATGCCTGGCTTCAAAGGATAGTTTCTCTTATTAGAGGGCAATGCAGCTGGTGATTTCAAGGTAAAGCCAATGATCATTTACCATTCTGAAAATCCTAGGGCCCTTAAGAATTATGCTAAATCTACACTGTCTGTGCTCTATAAATGAAACAAAGCCTAGGTGACAGCATATCTGTTTAAGCTTACTTTTGAGACCTGCTCAGAAAATAGATTCCTTTCAAAACACTACTGATCATTGATGACATATCTAGTCACTCAAAAGCTGTGATGAAGATGTAAAAGGAGATAAATATTGTTTTCACATCTGCTAACATAACATACATTCTGCAGCCCCCAGATCAAGGAGTAATTTTGACTTTCAAGTCTTATTTAAGAAATAGATTCCATAAGGCTATAGTTGCCATGGACAGTGATTCTTCTGAAGGATCTGGGCAAAGTAAATTGAAAACCTTCTGGAAAGGATTCACCATTCTAGATGCCATTAAGAACATTCTTGAGTCATGGGAAAAGGACAAAATATCAACATTAACAAGAATGTGGAAGAAGGTGATTTCAACCCTCATGTATCACTCTCAGGGGTTCAAGACATCAGTGGAGGAAGTCACTGCAAAGAGTGTAAATGACAAGAGAATTAGAAGTGGAGCACAAAGATGTGTCTGAATTGCTGTCATCTCATCATAAAACTCGAACAGATGAGGAGTTGTTTCTTATGGATGAGGAAAGAAAGTGCTTTCTTGAGATGGAATCTATTCCTGGTGAAGATGCTGTGAACATTGTTGAAATGACAACAAAGGATTTAGAATATTACATAAACTTAGTTGACAAAGCAGCAGCAGGGTTAGAGGACTGACTTCAATGTTGAAAGGAAGTTTTACTGTGGTACGATGCTATGAAACATCATCGCATGCTATGAAGAAATTTTTTGTGAAGAAGACTCAATCAATACAGCAAAATTTATTGCTGTCTTATTTTAATTAACTGCCACAGCCACAGCCACCCCAACCTTCAGCAACTACCCCCTTCCCTGATCGGTCAGCAGCCATAAAGAACGAGGCAAGACCTTACATCAGCAAAAGATTACGACTCGCTGAAGGCTCAGATGATCGTCAGCATTTTTAAATTAAGGTATATGCGTTGGTTTTAATGCTACTGCACACTTAATAGACTATAGTATAGTGTAAAAATAACTTTTATATGCATCGGGAAACCAAAAAATTCATGATTCACTTTATGGTGGTGAGCTGGAATAGAACCTGCAATATCTAAGGTATGCCTGTATAAACAGCAGGTAAGTGTAATACGTAAAGACTCTATTTTGTAGCACTAAGTGTTACTTCTAGGGTTAGTAAGTCCTAGAGGGTCAGACTTGGAACCTCAAAGAGATGTCATTCTGACAGAATTATAGAATCCCAATAAAAGTTGAAGGGACCCTGAGAGACTACTTTGTCACACAGTTCTCAATTTTTTGTGGGTCACAAACCCATGTGAGAATATGATGAAAGCAGCACATCCTCTACCCAGACTCAGGCAAGCAGAATTACTATACATATACAATTTCGGGGGGTTCATTCAGACATATCAAAGCTCATCCAGAGATCCCTATCCAAGACTAGTTCCTGAAATTTCCAGATGTAAAAACAGAACCAGCAAGGATAAGCTGATAAGTCACTTGCCCAAGGTCATATAGTGTCAAAGGTCAGGCTAGGCTTCAGATTTCTCACACTACATTACAAACCCTATCGTCAAGTCAGTCCTCTGCCACTGTGGCTGTCTTCCTGCATTCCAGAGTTATGCCCCAATGCTTGGAGATGAGCTTCTGGATGCTCTGACAGAAATGCTTCTGACCACACCCTCCTTCACAAATTAGGGTTTGTAGTCCATCTAATTTAGGTTCCTACATAGTAGCCTAGAGTCACCTTGGGTATCCTAGTCATTCTGCCTGTTTAGCAGACCGTAGTCACAGGAAACATCACTTTTGTCCTGGTATTCCAAGCACATTCTTAAACCTCAGCTGTTTGTGAGTATTCTTCAAAACACAATTTCTCTAAGTGCTCTTCTCCTTCTTTCCTGCCAATTCAAATCTCCTTCCCAACCCAAACAAAACTATACCGCCCCCAACTAAGTCACTTGGGCTGTTCCCAAATTACCCCTATCTTTTAACCCTCAATGCTCAAAGTTATCTCCACCTCTTATAGGGGAGCATCAACATTTTCCAGCTTGCAAAATTAAGTTCTTTTTTTAATCCTCTATTTCCATCATAAACAGAGGTTTCTGATAATTGCTGATACCTATAAAAATCTTACCTCCATGTCTTTATTCTCTAAATCTGTCACAACTAAAAATCTTCCTATACCTGTTCTATCTTGTCAACATCCTCCTTCATCCTTGACTTATTCTAATTACTCCTTTCCTGAGATCACACCAGGCTCTCTGGAGCACAGAATGTCTCTTGTTAGCATACTTCACAGGCAGAGATTAACTTATCTTGCAACTGATCAGAAGGTTAGGGACCGCTTCTTCTATAAAATTTTCATAATTCTGAATCAATTTCTCATTCTCTATCTAACCAACGACAAAGGACGATTTTCTGGAAAAGCTCCTTCTTTCCTCGACTACTATTATCTAGTCACGTATCCATCCCCTCACTCGTTTATTTACTATCTAGTAAGCCCTAGATGGTGACGATGTCTTTCTCACCATGAAGCTTATAGTCTCAGAGTGGAGATAGATTCTAGCACCAGCTTCTTACCATCTCAGTCATTTCGATTCAACAGGAATAGTTTGAAAACAGGAATAGTGCTGAAAAAGGCCTAGGAATCATCTAGTTCAACCCCTCATTTTACGTATTAGGGAAGTGAGGACCAGAGAGGTGAGCTGGCTAGCCCAAAGTCACAGAGGCAGAGTGTACCAGTGCTGAAGCAACAATACAGGTCTTCGAGACCAATTTTATTTTACCATACCACTTTACCTTACCGAAATCTAGTTATTCCTTTTTCTCCTATACTATGCATTAATAGTGACTACGTGTGTACCTCCAGGCACAAAATCATTTAACCAAAGAGGTACACAAAAGTCTATAATCTGCACCCAAAGAGGGCATTAGAATCACAAATTTTAAAGGAGTCTTACAGATCATCTAACCAATGATACTAAAAATGAAAGTTAAAAATGACAAGCAGACTTTTTTTCAATCTATGACCACATAATATCTACCTTTCACACCACACCTTCTTCATCCCCCAGAAAATTATGGCCTTATACAGCCATTATTTTATTCTTCACTTGTGCTGGGGAGATGGGAAAAGGGACTAAGAACCAGTGACATAATCCAACACCTTCCTTCAACAGATGAGAAATCTCAAGTCTAGAGAGAGAAAGGGACTTGTGCAAAGTGAACCATCAAGTTAATAGTAGCTTTAAGTCAAAAACCAAGGTCTCATATTTTCCACTTTGGAGTGACTTACACTGCTGGTTTAGGTTTATAAAACAAAGTTTTCTGGAAAGAGTTTCCCACTGCACAGGAAACTTCCTAAGTGCCCAGTTGCCCTTGCCCAGCTTGGTGTCTGGAAAGAAACAGGGTAGTCATCTCTTATCAGTCAAATCCTGGTTATGCAGGGTGCAGGGAGGACATGCTTTTCAGGTCTGTCTCTAAGAAAAGACTCCACGAAATGAGAGTTGAGAATCTGATTTACGTGGCTAGCAGGGGCATCAAAGGCACCCAACACATTCATGTCACAGATAAACTGCAGCACAAAGAGGATAATGGACCGGGACAAGATCACATAGTGACTCGGTGGAGAAGGTAAAACTAGCACTCGGGGTTCCTGATCCCCAGACGCGGCACCCTTTCAAAGATATGTTCATTGCTTCCTGCTCAGAGACATCCCCTCAGTACGCTGACGACAGGCCATCTTCAATTTACTGGCCTAAATACCGATTTAACATTAACATCGCGGAATTCGTGACGCCCGGGGGCGGGGGGGAGTCCCAGAAATTGTCCAGGCCAAACCCCTCATTTTGTTGAGGAAATCGAGGCCAAGAGGTTCTTTAGGCCGGAATTTTAGGCCGGGCTCAGACAAGGCGTCAAACCCGCAAGCAAGGCCTAGAAAGCCAGGAACCACAAATTCAACCCCTGCTCTCCCAGGAGGTCTGGGCCCGAAGGGAGCCGGAGACCGAGAGCCTAAGCGGTCGGGAGTCCCGTAACCCCCATCCAGCCGCCTCCGCCCCGCTGCACACAACCTTGGCTCGGCCGCCCGCCTCCCGGTCCCCAGGCCCGCTCTACAGTCGCCTCACCTACGCCGGCCCTCAGTCTGTTATTGTAGTTGAGAGGGAGGGAGAACGCTACAGACACTTACCGCGGCCCCCACCGCCGAGGCGCTTCCGCTTCCGCCGCCGCTCGGGCATTTCCGGAGTGTAGTCATCCGGGCTGGGCCCGCGCCGGAGTGTCCATATTGGGTGTGGAGCGCAGCGTGCAGGCACGGCAGCCATGGTAAGTGTGGCATTTCTGAAGGCCGGAGGTTGGTCCTCCTTCACGTGGCACTTATGAGCCATTACCGAAGCTCTGAGAGTCTGATAAGCGCGAACCAGTGTGTTTGCTCTACAGTTCTGCTGATGGATGCTCTGTGGGTAAGCCTTTGGACCTCACCTTTGTCATTTGAAAAATAGATAGGTTCTGATAGAGGTTTTACGAGAATCATTCAACTAAAAAACAGAGAACTGTTTTTTTTTTTTTTTTGCAGGAGGAGCAGTTAAATTAAACATATTACTGTTAAATCATCCCTTCTGTAAATTTGGACATTGTCTCTGCACATAATTAATAGCATTTTATAGCTGAAAGGGCGTTCGTATCAGTGTCTCCCTACGACTCTGACAAATAGGCAGGGATCAACTTAATTATTTTTTTTTCTTTTTTTAATGGATGAGGAATTATCTTCTCTGAATGTCACATAGCTGGACTGAAATCCAGATTTTTTACCTTCCAAATCCCGCGTTCTTGCCCTTACATACATGTAACTAATATAGGCTAAAATACCTAGATTTAAATAGATACAAATACCCCATAGGAAAGTTGGTGTACATTGAAGCCATATAAGAGACGGGTTACTAGACTATGATGCTGGAGAAGAAAACAGCTAAAGATGGCTGGCTTGGTGGGGGGGGGTCTTTTGTTCCTTTTTACTTTCTTGATTGATAGGTGACCTACTGTTTCTTTCCCTCTTTCCCTACTATGAAGATCTACTGTTTCTTCCCCTCTTTCCCTGGTATGGTTTGACACCCTGGGTTTCAGCTTGTCTTAGCTACCTTATTACATGTGTCAAACTATGTATCTGGATTTTGGTGCTCTTGGAGGACAAAGGGAACAAAACCACTTCATATTCAGGTACTATTCATCTTCATCCCAGCTTTCATATTACATTTTTCCTTCCTGTAAGTGAAGATAAAATTCTACTCCTATGTTATTTGCTTCTGTCAATTTCTTTTATATTTAAACTTTAAAAAATGAAAGAATAAGACCTTGGATTTTTCTGTTTCCTACATTGTTCTGAAGAATAAATAGGAAATGTATATGAAATTGTCTAAAACAGGGCATAGAATATATAGAAGACATTCCATGAGGTTTATTTCAGTGCAATTGGACTGACTTTTTAATTCAATTGAATGTGTTTTTCATTTGATTAGCAATTCCCCTTTTGTAAAAAGTATAGTGATAGGGCTAGAAATGCTCATGAATAAGCTAGATTTCCTACCTCCAGTTTAAAAAATGAAACAAAAGCATACCTACAAATCATTGTAATAAACGCTACATAGGGATATTTTCTCGGTGATATGAGTGCCTGCTATATAATAAAAAGTCAAAACTAGTTTTAACATTTTGAAGTAGAACATGTAATGTGCATCCTTTCCTCTCTAAGATGTTCCTTGAAGATGTGGGTTTTCATTAGGGTCCTCAGTTATTATTCTTCACATACAGTGGCATCATCATGGGAGCCCTGAGCTCCACAAGGAAGTTTACTCTGCACTAAATGACCCTAAAACACTGTGTTATTTTACTTTTTAATCTCCACTTTTTAATTAAATTCTAAAATATCTCTTCTCATTTTTTTCATAGGTTCTGGCTTTGGCCTCTCCCTTTAAATTTCCTAGGCCCTGCACAACAGATAATCCCGTTGTTATAATGATGTCTGACATTCAAGAGAAGAAATTTTGATCAGGGATAGTGGTTGGAGTTTGTTCAGGACCTCCTCATATGCCTAGGGAGCCTGTGCAATGCACAACTGCAGAAGGTGCCACACATATATGGGATCATTCACTGCAGTGACCTATGATTGTACCTCTGTACTCTAGCTTGGGCGACAGGGCGTAACTTTGTTTTTTTCAAACAAAAAGACTGAAATGTGACTTTTTTTTTTTTTTTTTGAGACATAGTCTCATTCTGTTGCCTGGGCTAGAGTGCCATGGCGTCAACCTAGCTCACAGCAACCTCAAACTCCTGGGCTCAAGCGATCCTCCTGCCTCAGCCTCCCGAGTAGCTGGAACCACAGGCGTGCACCACCACGACCAGCTAATTTTTTCTATTTTTAGTAGAGATGGGTCTCGCTCTTGCTCAGACTGGTCTCGAACTCCTGGCCTCAAGCTAACCTCCCGCCTCCGCTTCCCAGAGTGTTAGGATTACAGTCCTAAGCCTTGAAATGTGATTCTTTATGTGTTTCTTTGCCACATATAAACCAATAGCTGGATGTTAACAAGATTCAGATTAAGCCTTTGAAAATGCACCCTTTGTCCTTGTAATGTGTATCAGAGCTAGACAGTGCCTATACAGGCTTTCTGAAGCATGGTACCGTACAGTCTTTTATGTACACTAAAAAAATCTCTAACCTTGTGTATTTTGGAAGGGAAAGGAGAAATGGAGGATGAGAGGAGGGGAACATTGTAAGTAAATTTAAAAAAATAACTAGAATGTCTGTTGTGATTTTGATTCCTGCCAGTTTGGCTGATGTCTTATCTTTTCAACTTAATGTTCTAAGTTTAAATCAATGCTCAATTAAAAATTTCAAATTTGAATCATAAAACTCATCCATCAGATTCTTTAATATTTTAAGAAAATATGACAAATATTTTAAATGCTAATTATCCATAGACTGGTTCTTAACACAGAAAAATAATATAGGTGTGATTTAATCCCCATTTCTTTGCTTGAATTTGATCTTTTGGCATAGACATTTTAAGGTACTTAATCACTTTAAAAAACACTATTTACCACATCTGGGGACTGCAGTTGCATACTGACTGGGAGAATGTTTCTCTGGGTTCCAGGAGTCTCTTATTCCCACCCCCAACCGTTTTCCTGTTGGATGGCAAGCTGTAAAGACACATGATTAGGGTGGTAGCTGCCATTTTTCTCATCACATAGGTGAAGTCTGTATAGAAGATGATGAAACCAGCATGTATGAAATTCAGAGACAATCAGAGGACAGGGATGGAGGCTGAGGTTTCTGATAATGCCTGAGTCCGTGAATACAGCCGTACCTGGATTAAGATCCACCCTGTACCCTCCTAATTGCATGAGCCTGTACGTTTCTTAGCTTAGCTTAGGCCTGTTCAGCCTAAGCTAAGCTTCATTTAGATTTGTATCACTCTTAACTGAAAGAATCGTGACATATTTTCTATGCTGTGTTAGCCATTATCCTCCCTCCATTACCCCAAACCTTCAGAAAACATTTGTTACCCCGAATAGCCTTGAAAGTGCTTGAGGAATGAAGATAGATGGGGGGAGTCCAACATGCACCAACATGGTGGGGAATCAGGCAGCAGTATCACAAAGTGAAAGAGGTGCAGATGGGGAACTCTGCACAATTAGGGATACAGAGCAAGTAGTTACAAGAACGTAAATGCTCTGGGGTCTTCTGAAATTGGAAGGCCACCAGACTTCCTATGGTTTGTGGGATGGGAGGTCAAGTCATTTTGTTTAAGTAAGAAAGCGTGTGGCCAGCAGGCCAAGAGCTCTGGGTGACGTTTTCATGCTTTCTACCTAAACAAAAATGTTTCAGCTCCTGAGAGTATCATGGCATATTATGACAAAAATAAGCAACTGCGGTAAGGGCAGCAAAACAGCAGGGGATTGGCCTGAGGACTATCTTAGACATACAGAGAGTGTAGCAGCAAAGCATCTGTTGCTTGCTTGAGCTGCATCAACTTCTTCTTCTGGCAGTAATGCCTCAATATTCCTTTGGGGAGCAATTCTTTATCCTCTTCTAGTCCATACAGTAGGGCTGACCCACTCCTGGCTCCTGTAGGGCCTTGTAATTCAGTCCATGTCAATGAGAATTACACATACTCATAGCTATAAGGACTGGTTCAGGAATAAACCTCTTATCCCAACTGGTATAACAAGACTCAAACCTTTTGTTATAAGTTTTGGAAAAGGAACTCTCTCTTCCACCGAAATTGTACCTCTAGAGCTACCAGGTCTACCACTGGGAATGGAGGTAGGGTGGGGGTGGGTGAGAAAACCTGTCTGTGAATAAAAACAACATGAAGGAAAGTACTGATGGATCTAAGAGATGGAGAGAGAAATATCCAGCAAAATTTTTGGAGATCCTGGATATCCAGCTATGCCTGAATTCAGAGATTCCTCTGGACTTTTCAGGTGCAGGAGCCATAAAAGAATCCCTTGTCACCTCCATCCTCCATGTATTTATTTATTTATTTATGTCACTTTGAGTTGGGTTTTCTGTAAAGTCTTGGGAGTCTGATCAGTACTGGAGGTGGTAGGCAGAGAGTGTTATTCTCCCAAGGTTCAATATATTACCTGTGATTTCTCCACTAGAGGGTGTAGCTCACCCTGCACTAGAGGCAAGCAATATTAAGAGAGGTAGTGCTGGTAGGCATTTACTGTCAGAGAGACCTGTTGGGATGCTTCAGGGTCTTGGCCACAGAACTCATATCCCTGAAAGGGCCCCTGTCTTAGAAGGACTTGGAGAACAGTCAGATGACCAAGGTATGGCTACAGGCAGAGGAAATGAAACAGCACGAAGGTATCAGGTGGAGACTTAATCTCAAGAGCCATGAAGCTTCCTTCATTGTAAAAAGAAAAAAGGTAAGGGCAGGAAGAGCAAATCAGTTTTATCGTCCATTAAAACCTGATGACAAGGCATGCCTGGATTGCTATGTTGAGAAAGAGTTTGAGGCCACATCCAACTGAGTGGCATGTACTATTATTCATTACTGATACCTGGTGTGGGCATGAGGAGAAGCAGGAGGGTTGGATGTGATAGACAGTTGCCATCTACAGGTGAGATGTTTCTCAATGGGAGCACTATTGGCATTTGGGGAGAGTTAATTCTTGCCTGTTCAGGACTGTTCAGTGCACTGCAGGGCCTTACCCCACTGAATGCCTAG